TAAATGAAGCGTTCAACTCCTTCATATGGTTTAAGGTACCTAAAATCACATTTGTTAATAAAGATGTTGTAGAAATGGGTGTAAATTCTATTTTTCATTTCAATGATGGTAGAAATGGTATATTAAAAGGATTACAGCTTTTCGATATACAAAAAAATGTTACACAATTGACAAGAAGTTTAGCAGACAGTATATAAGTAAAACGAATGAAACGTAAGACTACTATTACGGTAAAGAAACAGAGAAAAAAACTAAGAGCAATATAAAAAAGAACTCAGCAAAAATTATAAAGCAAAGGAACCTCAAGACTCATATATTTCAGAAATATTTTATCATGGTTTTGCTGTTTAAATGTGATTTTTTCTTTATTTTGTACTTATTTTTGTATTTTCTGCAAGTAGAGTTTTCCATATTTTATCAAGATTTCAAAACATGATTTTTCATGATTGAATAAAGCTTTTGTTCTGATATTTTCAGGACATATTCCTAACAACATTAGAATTCATTTAACAGATAGATTTTATTTAATATTGTGTAAAACTCATTATTTTTAGTTTTAACTTCATTAAACTGCTTGTAAATCGTACAAATTTTAACTTATTTTAAAAAAAAGGTCATATCTTTAGATATAAAAAGAAATAATTAAAAATCTATCTGTTAAATGGAGTAAAATAATGTCTTCAACAGATCTGGAAAGTTTGATTCATGGTTTTTAAATCTAATTCAAGATAACGTGTTTTGAAAACCTCAGAATTAGGTCTTTATTTACACTGTTTTTTTGCCATTATGATTTTTGGTAGAGTTTTGAAAAAAAATTTTTTGGCAAAAATATTTCATTTTTCTTAGTGAAGCATTTCTGCATATTTTTAATACTTTTTTTAAAAATTTTCATGAAAAGTGTCTTTTTTGTGCTCTACCACCTTAAGCATAACAGTATTTTTTTATAATTGTTCTTTAAGAAAATCATAATAGTAATCACAGGGCCGTGAGAGCTGTCACGCATGGGACAGCAATCCTGATTGATATTTATTAAATTTTCCCTATATTATATATGAAGGACTTTTTTTTTTGGTACCTACATTTCATTTGGCGCCCCTTGGATATCTGCCGCCCGGTGTTCACGAGGCGATTAGTGAAAATAATAGTTTAATGTAAATAATATAGTTGAATTATAAACGTCTCTAGGCGTCACATATTGACATTAGAGATTTCCTTCGCTAATGAAGCAATTAGCGAATTTTGTATAGAAGTTAGAAAATACCTATAATATCTCGCTTGGGGAAATATTATATGGTATAAACAATCGTGTATAAACTTATAAGAGAGGCGTTTTTTTTTGTTAGTTAGTGATAAACGTTAAAACCGAAATATATAATGCTAAAATAAGTCACGTTTTATTATTGGGTTTAATGGGAGCAGACGAAATGACGCAAAAATACCTTTACTCTCGAATAGATGACGCTTCAAGCATTGTCATAATAAGGGATGGTGGCGAACGTCAACTTGAAAGAATTGGTCGAATAATGAAAAATAATAGAAGCATCGATAAAGTCGGTTATGAACAACATGGATGTGGATTAATGGATAATGAAGTTATGGATGATGGATATGTAAAGCATTGGAAGCAAAATCGGCAAAGGGAATGGGATGAGTTGAAAAATGATCAATTGGACGCTCAAGTTAATCAACATGCTAAAACTGTTGATGTAAAAAAGAACTATCAAACATGCCCTGTTGTAACTGGTTGGCGAAGGTGAGTTATCTAAAATAACGGAGTACTGTGAAAAAGGTATTGACTTTCAACCGAAAAATAGCGACATAAGTACAAATAGTGAAATTGGACAAGACTTATGGAGGCACTTATCTAGAGTGTCGATTTCTGTTTTTTTGGTAGATAAAACGCAATACGAAAATTGGAAGGCAGCGTTTAAAGCATGCAATGATAGGGCTCCAGCTACACCGGAATATAAGCTCTTGCAACTACGCCAGTACTTATCAGGAAAAGCTTCAAAAGTTGTTGAAAGTTTGGGGTATTCAAAAGCTGCGTACAAAGCTGCAAAAGATCGACTCGAAAGGAAGTATGGGGGCAAACGACGACAAGTTGCCTTGTATTTGGAGAGAGTGGAAAACTTTAGTTCAGTAAAACCAAACAACCCAAATGATCTTAAAAACTTTGCTGATATGTTGGACATTGCAGTCATAAATTTAAAAGAATTGGGAAAATTTGAAGAGTTAGCAGATGGCTCACTCTACATTAAACTTATGAAGAAGTTACCAAAAACAATGCTAAGTGTATTTTTACGATGGTTATTTGAAAAGCAAAAAAGTCCTGGGGTGGAATTGCTGCGATAATGGGTTTTTCAAGAAGCTGAGTTTTATACAGTTGCCCAGGAAACTTTATGTGGTTTGGAAGATACAAAGTATAATCAAGAAAAACCCTTTAAAAACTTTAAAGAAAAACAAAGAACTTACTTTGGAGAAAAGCTCAAAGACAATGTAATAAAATCGTGCAAAATTTGCGATGGCAAACATGCAGTTTGGGAATGTGAAAAGTTCAAATTCATGGCAGTAAATAAAAGATGGGAACAAGCAAAGTTTCATCATCTATGTTATTGTTGTTTGGTTCATGATCATGTTGGAAACAAATGCGAGAAATCAAGAAAATGTGGGGCCGATGGTTGTCAGGAAGTTCATAACAGACTATTGCATTTAAAGAAACGAACGAAAGAAAAAAAGGAAGAAACAACTCTTCTTACCAAGTTTTCAAGTAAAAATCAAAGTCGAGAAGTGGCTATGAGAACTTTACCTGTCATTTTAACAAATGGAAAGCTGTCGATAAAAGTTAACGCTCTATTGGGTGATGCTAGTACCCAAACCTATATAAACAGTGATGTAGCTGCAGAACTTGGATTACAAAGAGTAATGAAAGAAATTAAGATTAATGTACTCAATGGTAGAGTAGTCACATTTCAAACAATGCCGGTTGAACTTCAGTTGCAAAGCATTGATGGTAAATTGAAAAAGAAGATAAATGCATTAACAGTTGATTGGGCTGCGAGTAACATGCAAGTAGTGGATTGGAATAAATATAAAAACCATTGTAATTACCTAAAAACTATACCATTTTTTAGATTGGGACAGCGACCTATTGTAGATATGCGATATCAAATTGGCATTCCTTGGAAAGAAGATTCAAAATTGTTACCAAACAACTATAAAATGGCAGTAAATCGGTTAATAAGTACGGAAAAACGCTTTAAAAGAACACCGGAGGTGATGGAAATTTACAAAGAAACAATACAAAACTACTTAACAAAAGGTTATATCAAAAAAGTAAGCAACAATGATTACAAAAATCAATGGACCCTCTCACACTTCAGCGTTGTAAATTTAGAAAAGGAGACTACAAAAGTCAGAATCGTTTTTGACGCTGCTGCAAAATGCCAAGGTTTTTGACATCATCCATCAAGGACCAAAACTGCAACGAGATCTCTGTGTCGTTCTGTTGCGGCTCCGAAAAAACGCAGTCGCTTTGATGGGTGATATCACAGAAATGTACTTGCAAATTGAGCTGAATCCAAAAGTTCGAAGATATCACAGATTTCTTTGGCGGGATCTGAAGAAAATAAAAACCCTGGGTTTTTTGAATTTACAAGAGTTGTATTTGGTATAATTTCTAGCTCTTTTCAAGCACAGTTTGTTATACAAAAACACGCAGAGAAATATAAAAAAAAGTTGCCACTGGCTGCGGAGTTTGTTGATAAGTCCACATATATGGATGACAGTATGGATTCAGTTGAAACCGAAGAAAAAGCAATTGAACTATATAATCAACTTACACAACTGTGGAAAAAGGCGGGAAAGACCGCAAGAAAATGGATTTCTAATTCAAAGACAGTGATGGAATGCATTCCTATTAAAGCTAGAGCAGCAAAAAATAAACATAAACATGAAGAACTTACCTACAGTGAAAACACTGGGCGTATCTTGGGAAGCAGCCGAAGATATGTTTACATTTAGTTACACTCTACCATCAGAACCAGTTACTCGTAACTGGTTCTGATGGTAGAGTGATGTTTTGAGATGTATTTTAAGAGATGTATTTTAAGAGACTGCTCTTAAAATACATCTCAAAATTCTTCGATCCACTTTGATTCTTGTCTCCTTTCGTTATTCGAGCAAAAATATTATTTCAAGAACTATGGACGTCAGGAGAAGATTGGGATGAAACGCTACCAGAAAAAATAAAACAAAAATCGGATATCTGGTTTAACGAACTGACAAGTATTCACCAATATAAAATACCTCGCTGTTTATGTATCAAAAACAATGATAAAATCATTTATTCAATTCTTCACGTATTTGTCGACGCTTCACAAACTGTTTTTGAAATAGTATGTTATTTAGTTCATGGTTATGAATTTGGTGGAACGTCAAGTTCTTTTGTTTCGTCAAAAACTCGTGTCGCTCCATTAAATTTAGTTGATTGGAGTTAATGAGTGCAGTATTAAGATTGAAGCTTGCACTCTCTGTCGTAGAAGCTTTGCCTTGCTCAAAAAAAATGGAGAATGTTATATTCTGGTCGGTAGCTTGAATACGTTATCCTGGATTAAAAATCCAAATAGAAGATTTAGAACCTTCGTTGCAAACAGAGTTGGGGAAATCCAATCTCATTCAAATCCGAAACAATGGCGTTACGTACCGACAGGGAAAAACCCTGCGGATTTGTCATCTAGAGGAGTAAATATAAACGACTTAAAAAAAGTAACTTGTGGTGGGCTGGGTCTGATTTCATCCAATAAGAGGAATCCCAATGGCCAACCAAGGAATTTAAAGAAATCGAAGACAAATTTATTCTAGAAGTAAAGAACACTCATACTTTGATGACTATTAAATCCGAAGAAAATGGCGATGACTGGCGATTGGAACTAGCCCGCTACTCTAGTTGAGAAAGTTAACACGAGTTTAGCCTGGGTACGAAGGTTTCAGCATTTTTTAGGATGAGCAGTCGAAGAGGAACGCCAAAAGAAATGATATCGGCAATATTAGCAAACAAAGAGCTGCGAAGTTTTACTAATGGCGAAAAGAAAAGGATAAACGAGGCAACAAGCCATGTTGGTATTAAATGGCATTTTAATCCACCTGCAGCCCCTCATTTCGGAGGAGTTCATGAGATCATGATAAAAGCCGCAAAACAAACAATTTATTCCCAACTGGGAAATGCGGATATTACTGACGAAGAACTTATTACAGCGTTTGCTGGGGCAGAAGGACTTATAAATTCCCGACCATTGAGTTATCAATCGAGTGATCCTAAAGACTGCACACCCCTTACACCGAATCAATTTTTATTTGGACAATTAGGTGGTAAGTTCGCCTCTGATGCAGTGAACACTACTTCATTCAACCCGAAAAGAAGATGGCTTCGAGTCCAAGAATTAATAAAAAATTTTTGGCATCGCTGGATGAAAGAATGGTTACCCATGCTTGGACCACAAAAAAAATGGAATATCGTAATGGGAAACTTTTCAATAGGTGACCTGGTATTGGTGCTCTCCGAAAATACTTCAAGAGGCCATTGGCCACTTGGTCGGGTAACTGAGGTTTTCCCTGGAAACGACGAATAACGGGAAGGTTATTGAAACGTTCGATAACCAAATTGTGCCCTCTCGAGCCGAATGAACCAGAAGATGTTGACCATTTGGTCAAAAGGGAGGAGTATGTTCACGAGGCGATTAGTGAAAATAATAGTTTAATGTAAATAATGTAGTTGAATTATAAACGTCTCTAATAATCGTGAATAAATTTATAAGAGAGGCGTTTTTTTTTGTTAGTTAGTGATTAACGTTAAAACCGAAATATATAATGCTAAAATAAGTCACGTTTTATTATTAGGTTTTATACATTCTACGCGCTTTCACACGAACACCCGGGACAAACTGTCCTTCGTGACCCCCCTCTGGGCGGCACTGAGTAAACATATTGCTTAAGGTCACAATTTCTAAGTGTTAATTAATAGTTTATTCACAATAGATCTGAACCTGGGTTATTTTTTAATAGCTAAATAAGTCTTATGTAACATACTTTTCAAATTGATACTAATTGAAACTTCATTCTAAGCACTCGCAGTCAACAGTTGTAAAGCATAAGAAAATTGCAGTCATGAAATGTTTCTAGAAAGAGTAAAGCGTTTAGAAAATTATTGTATACTTTTCTAATTATATGACATTAACACACATACACACAAACTGATAAAAATATACATATCTAATTTTTTTTTGTTATAATTTGTTCTTTAAGTAAATCATGATAGCATGCATATTGCTTAAAGTCACAGTTTCTAAATGTTAAAACAAAGAAAAAAAAAAGAAGAAAATCAAGCACAGAAATGGAAACGCCCACTTCGAGAGCTCGCAACCCCTCTGATTTTACTTCGCTAAGTTTGCATTTGCTAAAACAAAAACCAATGTTAGATATTTCACAATACTTGAAGTTGTGTCAAAATTAAATTTGAAATTTAAAGGGTCTTCACAAAAGTAGTCTGCAAGAGTATATAGGAACCTTAGATATATATTCTATTTATTATATTTTACCCTATTGGGGTAAAATATAAAAATAGAAAATTCGGACACTTGAAGACAATGGACACTTTGAAATCTCCTACATTATTTACGCGGGGTAATTTCAGACATTTGCAATTTCGACAAGTATTTGCATTTAAAAAATTTTTTTTAAACATGGAAAATCAAAAAAAAAGGAAAAAGGTAAGTTTTTAAAAGACATTTTAACTTTCTGTATTTATAAAAAGTACAACTGCAAATAATGCTCAGTCTTTCTATATATTTAAAAATATATATAGAGAGAGACTTTTATATGCTCAGTTTTTCTATGTTTTTTAAAAGTCTCTTTTTTTAGCAAGGTCTTTGATTCTTTGATCAAAAATTTTCTAACATCCCATCATTAGTCAAAAAACTTACTTTTAGATAACCAATACGGTTTTTTGATCTTCTGCTGACTTGCCTTCCGCTGTGACTGAAAACCATTACGGTTTTTTGACCTTCTGGCTGACTTGCCTTCCGCTGTGACTGAAAAATTCTATACTGTATTAGATGGAGGCAGAAAGACAAGAACTATTGCATTTGACATATCAAAAGCTTTCTCAAAGTTCTATCCTTGGTCCTGTTTTGTTTCTAATCTAAATTAATATTCAATCTTTCTGATAACCTTGCATCAAATGTGGCTCCGATTGCTTGCAACTCAACTTAAAATACAAACATTGTAATTTTGATTTTGTGCAGGCATATTATTATTTTTTTAACTATTTGTTTATTTAATAACAATATTTGTTTTGGTGTGTGTGTCCATAAATTTATATGTGTTGATTTTAATTAGTTTACAAAACTAAACTATTGTAACAGTATCAACGTTAAATAAATTGTTAAAATTAAAAATTAAAAATCTTAACAAAAAAATCTTTTCTTTTTGATTATGCTACTCCTGATTCTATTCTCTTCTTTAATAAATCTGCCATATCAAAGAATGGAAAATAAAGTTTAATAATAATGTGCCAATAATACCATCCTGGTATGGAATACCGTTGTCATATTTGGGCTGATTCTTCTAATGATGCTCTTTTTTCTAGACAAGACCCGAAAACGCATTTTTAACATACCTGGACCTGCTTTATCTGTCGTGCTTGAGCCTCTCTACCATCTTTTTCTCTTTTCTAGAAATACTACAAAATACCATGGTCGCAACTCAAAGGAGCTAGTTCTATCAACCAAAACTTGACTTCTCATTTAACAAAGTTATTATTTTACTGTATCTGTTTCTGCATGCTCTGAAAAATTTTATTTGTACAAATAAAATTTTTCGCACAAATAAAATTAGACAATTGTACTGTAGTGTACTGTATATAAGACAAGGCATATAAAACAATTGTATTGTACTGTATATAATTGTAAAATAAATTTGTATAAATAAAATTAGACAATTGTCTAATCCCCCCTCCCCCGCTGCATAAACCTTTTGAACTCTTTCTCATATTCAAAACTGCTACAATTTTTTAAATCTTCTGTCAATCGTTTCCTTGCTCTTTAATCATATTTGTTTTCTAGCAATTCCTAACTAAATACTTGTTACTTGCAGTCATATTGGGAGAGAATTAGAATTTAAAAAAATGATGTGTTTCCCAAAAAGCAAAAGGTTATGAGAAATTCCACGTTCGATAGAGTTACTTAAACAACAGCGGTGGCGTACAAAATAATTAATAAAATAATTGTATTTTGTTTAAAGTCTAGACAACAAAGCTTTAAATCTAAATAACTTTAGATTTCGCAGCAGGAAAAAGCAATTTAAAATTCTGTTTATACGGAACGTATAAACAGAATTACTCAATGATTTACTCAATGGTTTTCAGACATAAACATTTATAAACGCAGTAATATAGGTTCTTAACCAGCTTATATTTGGACTTCTTAGGAATAAGTAATATTCGTGGGTATACTCCGAGAAATTAGTTATAAGAAGTAAAGATACATAAACATGTGGAGGGATTTATTATCATTTCAATGGGCAAGTAGTTAACCCACGGCAACGTTCATTTGATTTCAAAGTAGTATGCAAACAAAACTTTCACATTTTTTGAAAAAAAGGCAGAATTAATAAAGCATAAAACTAAACCCTGTAGAACCCCACAAGTAATGATGGTTTTCGAAATTAAACTTGTTATAAATAGTTTTAAAATGTCATAAAATATGCAGTAGTGGTGAAGTGGTAGAGGTTGTAATATTTCACAACCTTTGTGAAATATTACAACCTGTTTCAAATATTTCAAATATTCGTTGCGACAAAAACATGTTTCGTTAGTACGAAAAAAATTGTCAGAAAAAGAATATCTGTCGAAGCTCTCAGTTATGTAGTATTGAGCGTTCTATTTGAAATCTCTGGCTTTCTTTTTAGAAACAGAGAAACTAGTCAGCAGTCTCACGTTGGTTGTTTTCCTTTGAAAAGGGAAATTTACGTGAAGTTTTTTCGGGTACTTTTTTTGGGTCAGTAGAAGGTCAAAAAACCGTATTGGTTATCTAAAAGTAAGTTTTTTGACTAATGATGGGATGTTTGAAGATTAATCATCAAAGAATCAAAGACCTTGCTAAAAAACCTTTGAACTTCTGCAGGAGTGAAGCCGTATTATATCTCATAAACACCTTTTTTTCAGATGTTTTTTTTTTTTAATTTATTTTGCCGTTGATAAATATTACAAAAAAGAAATTACAATAAAAGAAAATCCTGGCCGGAACAAGAAGAAGACAGGTTGTCTTATCACCGAGCCCCGTCACACAAAAATTTACATGCACAATAAATGATAAAAGACAAAAAGACAGTATAAATACAAAAACAAAAACAAAAAAACATCAGCAATTAAATAATTTGTTGAAAACACACACAAAAAAAATGCGTTGTTTAAAAAAACACACACAAAAAAAATGCGTTGTTTAAAAAAAAAAAAAAAAAGCAATATATATAAACATAACTATTTGGGCTGATTATTTAATATCATCAAAAATATGAACGAAAAAGACAATTTTATTTGCGTTATTTTTTATACTAATGGTTTGAAACCATTTTAATAAAAGCTAAAGAAAGTGTTAAAGATTTAATTTATTTTTAAGCGATTTAGTTTAAACCATTAAATTGTTTTCAAAAAAGGTATTTGAAATCTGATATATCGAATTCCATGTCCAGTAAATGCCGTTTTGAATCATCCTTAAAACTTTGCAAAGTGCAGTTTAAAACGAAGTTTTGTTTTTTATTAAAGATTGTAAGAAATTTTTTTCAGACTAAAGGTCCCCGATATTGAATTTGGTACGAACTTAATTTAAGAAGGTTTATGGGAACCACAAAGTTATTCATTGAAAATTTGGTTGGATATTTCTGGGAGATTTCATTAAAGTAGGATTGAAATGTTTCTGGAGAAAACCCAAGTTTTGCTTTAAACATAAATAACATTACTTGATGAATATTAAGCTTATAAATATTTAAAGCTTCAAGTTGACGTAAGAGAGGTTCGCATTGTGTTTTTCTATTTGCTCCAAATACTATCTTGCAAGCATGTTTTTGTTTACTATAGATTTTTTTGAGTTTAGTGTGATTAGTGCTACCCCAAGAAATGTTACAGTATGAAAGATAGCTGTGTATAAACAAAAAATATAAATTTTATAAAGACTCATTATTAAGAAAAGGTTTTGTTTGATATAAAATGGCAATATTTTTTGAGATCTTACTTTCAATATATTTAACATAAAATTTCCATGACAATTTTTCATCTAAGAGCACTCCCATAAATTTTGTAGTCGATTCCCTATAAATTATTTTATTATTGATTAAAAGATTAAGTAGTTTAAGAGGAGTATTCTTGGCTTTACTAGGTTTATGGAATAGGATAAAATTTGTTTTCTCTACATTTAATGATAGTCAGTTACTTATAAACCACTCGTTGATCTTAGCTAATTCTTCGTTAAATATTTTAAAAAGAACAGTAATATTTTTGTGAGAATAAAACAAATTAGTGTCATCTGCAAATAAGAAAAAATAAGTATTTAATACTTTTGATGATAAATATAAGTCA